AAAAGTTTCGAATGTTTAGTTGCATCGAGTACACTGGCTAGCATGTCGGTTGATATTTGTCAACTGTCACCTCCGGTTTCAAAGTTTTCTTTTTGCAAGAATCCAGGGCAGTATCCGAGTTAAATTTGTTGAATGTATGGTTTTAGATAATAATCTGCTTTACAAACTAGCAGTGAATCTCCATAACCTATCTACCTAAACAAAGAATTTTGAAATATGCTCCATACAAATTATGTTGATTTCCTACCCCTAGTGGGAAAAACCATAAATGAACGAAGCTATTTGTACCATGTGTACATAACTTGGCTTCATGTAAAGCCATGCGCGTTGCAAGCTTTTTACTCTTGAAGCGATAAAACACGATAAAAAAAATTAAAATCAAAATTCAAAATTTAGCACTATAATTATTACAACTTTTTACTGAACGTCATCAGTCTACTTTCAGTTCGGAAAGATCTGACCTGACTAAGACCTCAGACCTGAGAAGAGCTCGCGAAATAAACTCAGAAAGACCAAATTTATTTTTTTATCTTTTTTAATTCAATAAAAAAAAAACATTAATTAAAAAGTAAGTTAATTTAAAGTTTCTCCCAATTATAATTAGTTTTGCTTAAGCGAATAAATCAATTATTGAATATGAAATGTCTTTGCAATTAATTATTACACAATTTCATTACGGTGCTCTTTTAAAAGAAAACAACAATTTTACAGTTTTCTTAACGATTTCACTAATTTTCCTTTCATATACAATCGCTTACGTTATAATAACAACAAAATAAGCGACATCCCAAATCCTGAACATAACATTGAAAGATGTTATATACTCAAATTATATGATAACACTAGACTCACAAATAATAGTACTCGAGCAACTTGAGCAAATAGAAAAGTAAACGATGAAAAAAAGACATGTAAACCGTATTTCAATTGAAAAAAATATACTAAACCTTTAAATTAATTAAGACAATGTAAACGTGCGCTAACTACGCGACGGTCGGCCTTGGACACTAACTAACAACTACACAAATCTCGCATTATCCTATTAATCCAAATTAAATTACGAATATTCGTTTTCAACTGTAATAAAATAATATTATATATTGTAATACTTACACTACTCGTCCGAATTCATCCCTGGGAACGTCCTTATCCCCGCTTCCGACCTCCGACAATTTCGCTCTAAAAGCCGCCACGCGTGCCGCTATCTCTTCTTTTGGCAACCTACGTAACCAAACCAAAGACACACTCATTATTATCATAAAATACCATAAAAACGTACAATTTAAATAAAATTTTCCATTTTTATTTCAATACGCAATCAAGTGATAGCGTAAACCACGTCCAACCAAGTGTAATGAAATCTCAAAATAAATATACAAACGTGGTGGAGTCGCTTATTACTTAAACATAAACCTACCAATGCATGATATGGTTTTGTAATCGCGGAATTACTTTTCGAGAACCATAAAAACATCGATAAGACGCTCGCGGCTTGCGGCAGTCAACTGAACAAAACTGAGTGAGCAGGGTTAGGCCGTAGGTTCGATATCGATCTAACTCGTGCGCAAGGGCGATTGGTGGGGTCATTTATATGGGGTTGGTAAATGTACAAAATGTACCTACACAAAAGGTTGTAGATCGATAATGACATGTGACACATTATGTTAATGACATAGGCACTATTATAAAGACCGTAGGCGAATTCGTGCTATGACCCCATAATAATTAATTTTTTATGGTAGACTGCCCACAAATCGTACAGTTGTAGATTGTAGATGGCTGGCTGCATTTCAGAAATTTTGATTTAATATTGCCCGCCCTTTGTCCTAGTGAAATCAATTTATTTTACAATTGTTGAAAATTCAAAACAATTGTTGTGAAATAAATAAAAAATATTATGAAATATCTAAAACTATAATATACATAATTTACAGTACAATAGATAGAATACAAATTTTGAGCTTAAAAATATACCTAATTATGAAGTAGCCGATTACAACTAGCTATATCGAGCAAATTCACTTACATGCCATCTAGACAGAAGATATTATAGTGCACAGGAGTGTATACAAGTGCGTTATCTACATATATCACTCTTATGCCAGGCCAAAAAACATTTGAGATGACTGGAGAGGTATCAGGCACAGACAGGCTTTTCGTGCTCTCCAAGGCATGGGGTTGTAACAGCTCTAAATTTATAATTCTGGACTGTTAGAGAGACTTTCTTGACAAGAAAATATGATTGGCCAGACTTGGGGCTCAAACAAACAAATTAATTTAAATTATTTATTTTTGCTTACATTATAAAATTACATGTTAGACTGAAGTTATAAAAAAAACCAAAAGATACTCGTAGAAGTGAAAATCGAATTTACATTAATATTATAAATGTAAAAGTGTGTTTGTTTGTCCTTCTTTCACGTCGAAACGGAGTTACGGATTGGCGTGGTTTTTTGTATGGAGATAGTTGGAGGGCTGGAGAGTGACATTGGCTACTTTTTACCGCGAGAGATTATCTAATTTCCACGGGAAAACACGTGATAATACAATCCAAAAAAAAAATATTTATGATCAGAACTACTTGAAACTTGGTATTAATGCTCTTCAATAAAATTAAATAAATACTTTTTTTGCATTTTTCGAAATTCTTCCTATAAGAGGATGAAAGTTTGTATAAAACTACCTTTTTAGAGATTTTTTTTGTAGTTTTACCACGAGCGAAGCCGCGGGTTCTGCTAATATAAATTATAAATAATATATATATATATGTATAACTAAATTCTAAATAGATTGCATATTACAACTATTAGTTTGAAGATCATATGTATAACATTTACTAGAAAAAAGAATTATCTTTTATAAAATTTAAGCTCTATTATAAAAGTACTAGCGACTCATCCTAGCTTCACTCGTTTTTTTAAACCAGTTCTGAGGCCTGGTTCAAAAACAAACTTAATCTTTATAGTATTAGTATAGATTAAAAATTTAATATATTTTTATATATCTTTTTAATAATACTGTTTTTGTTTTTCATAGTAAAGTTGTAACTATTAATTAAAAACTGTAGGCTTTCATGAGCTACTGCTTATCTACTAATTAATTTTTAGCTATAAAGGTATTGTGATAAGACATTTTTATAAGGTTCCCATACTGTTATTTTGCCCATACTGTTATATTTACCATGACAATTAAATGGCCGTAGATTGCTCAATGTTTAATTTATATGAAATGTCAATTCTATTTAAAAAATAAACTGTTACATGAATCATTCATTATGTTTTAATTTGTTGTAAATCAAATTATAGGATATACAGTTTACATTCTTAGAAGGTACTATATAAATATTTATAAAGTACTAGCGAAGCGAGAGTGAGTACCCTTGCTTCTCTCGGGTTCATCCTTAGGTTGATTTTTTCTAAGTTTCTGTGCAATTTTCATAATTTTTTTTAATGTACCTTCTACAAAGTATTAGAAAGCATTTAAAAAAAAGATGAAGGAAATCGGTAAAGCCGTTCTCAAGTATATATACATATATAACTGTAAAGAATAAAAGTAATAGGAGTTTATAATATATTTAAAATATTTTTATAGTATTAGATGTGTAATTTAAAAACTATGTCTTATCTGCCTATATAGTTTAAGATACCAAAAAATAAGTGTATTTAGTCAAATTTTAGTAAATATTATTTAAAAATTTATAATTGTTTACTTTAGTAATTAACATTTTTGATTCAAATTACACACAATTGTTAAACATATCTCAATTTTGATAAAATATCTTATATATAAAATATTATTAGTTTCTATTATATATAGTTAAAAAATATAACTACAAAAGAAAGTGTGAATTATTAAGCATTTAACAGATGAAAAGTATTAGCGTGTATTATTAAGAATGCTGTAATTATTATTTCTTAATTTATATTTATTTATAGGTTATATGTTGCTTAAAATTTATATTGTTTAATTAACTCACCCTTGTTCTTCCAAAGTGTCCTCCAATTCTGCACATTTGACTTCTATTTTTCGTTTTCTCTCATGATCGAGTATTTCCCGGTTCGGTTGTTTATTGGAAGCAGAGTCGAGTTTAGCTATTTCATCTTCAGTCCGATAGTTCACTGTATCTTTGGTTTTACGTACTGATGCCCAATTCCTTTGAACGTAACCATTTGTTCCTGAGCCCCTTGGCGTCGTTAACCCAATACCATTATACATTATAAAGTTTCAATTATTATCTAAAAAGAACAAGACACATTAGCCAAAAATCGTCACACTTCTACGTCGCGAACATATTTAATACGTAGACAAAAAGCACTTTTTTCATAAACTACACTTTTCGCGAAAAAATATTTTAAAGTTTATAATGGATATTAATGTAGGTCAAGCTTAAAATATCTTACCAATAGGTAACGACTTCATTAATTAATTCTGCTTATTTAAAAATACGTCCATCTTGGTTGAAAGGTTTTGATTTTTTGCGTCCATCTATACATTTTTATGTCTATGATTCTCGATATTTTAGTCTATGAGGTAAATTAAACTTCAATGAGATGATAAAAAAATATAAATTATATAATTATAATCAGGATTATTAATGTTTACTAGTTGTTTTATATTGCTATAATTAATAATAAATAATTATCAAGCCTACACCTAAAAATATTTAAGACATTATTTAACCTATGTAGTGTTACTATTGTAATATCAGCATGAATGACAAATAAAAGTTTGGTGTACACCATGAATGACAAAATAAAAGTGTACACTGTACACGTTGTTACTGGTCTGTGGTGTATACCACAGACTAGGAACAACACTGTCAAGTGTCAACAGTTAACTTTTATTTGTTATCCATGACAGTTAACTCACAACTGTCAAAAATAAAAGGTTATGTTTGTGTTTTGTATACGATCGTGAAAATTATACATTTATAAGTTTATGATATATAAAGATCTGCAATAATAACATTTTAATTGTAGAATATCATATAAAATATTAAAATGTTGGACAAAATTTTATATAACACAGTCCTGTGCCAGGCGTTATCGCCGTGTGGAAAGTATTTAGTAGCTGGAAATATTTATGGACAACTAGCTGTTTTTGAGTAAGTATAGCATATTATGAACAATTAATCTTATACACAAGAATAATTTTTCTACAACATATTTTATATCTAACTAAATATATAAAACTAAATTCTTTATTTATGAAAAATGAAAAATAAATTTCATAAATAGTTATTTCTTTTTTAAATTCCAGCTTGGATAATATTTTCAATCCTATGGTAGAATTACTAACATCAGATTATAATAAAGCAAAACACATTCATATACTTGAACCTGGGAATCAAATATGCAGTTTAATTGCTACAGAAAAGTTTTTAATTGTGGGTACAGTAAATGAAATATCAGGTTGGGATTGGAAAGCTGTAGTACTTTCAAAATTAGGTAAGCCTTCTTGGACTATAAGAATACAGCCGCAGTCTATGATTGACAAATGTGATATCAATAGCCTGTGGTATTCAGCAGAAGAAGAAAAACTTTATGCTGGTTGTGGAGATAACAAAATCTATGCTTATGATTTAGAAGATGGACGATTAGTTGCCACCTATGATGGGCATACTGATTATGTGCATTGTGTACATGGCAAGTAAGTAATAAAAAGAAAATATATTATTGAAAATTCCATAATGAAAAGGTTTTTTAAATAAAACTATCTTTTTGTATGTTTTCATGGATTTATTTTGATTTTTGGTTTCCTAGTGAAAATCAAAAATAAATCTATCCCAGGGGAATTGTACATTTTAATGCGATAAAAAGTATTATTCTATGTGCTATTGCAGACTATATATCACCCTCGCTTCGGTTGGGTTCGACTCTAAAAGAACAAAAACAAATATATCCATTTCATTAAAATCCATTAAGTAGTTTTACATGAAAGTGTAACAAACATCTATACATGTATACATCCAGACATCCACACATCCTCACAACCTTTCACATTTATAATATTAGTAGGATATAATATTAGTTGGGTTTATAGGATTATTGCATGTTTAAATGTTTGTATTGTTGAAAATTGAAATTCATGAGTTTAAATTATTCGTTCATACTTCCTATGCTTAAGTTATTAAATTATAATTCCATAATAAGTATATAAATGTTTCCAGTGGCCAACAATTAATCTCAGCTGGTGAAGATGGGCTTGTGTTACTATGGGATATGAGGACAAAAAAATCTCATAACAAAATTAAACCGCACAGTAATAGAAAAGTAGCAAGGCCTGATATAGGCAAGTGGGTTGGTGCCGCAGCTTTGGGTGATGATTGGATTGTAAGTTATTTTTATAATAATAGGTTCAGGTTTATACAGAAAATGCAGAGTTTAGCAATAAAGAGCCAAAACATAGTAATGTTGCTGATGTAATAAATAATTATAGTATTTATTTTATTATTATCTAAAGTATGGGTTAATATGACAATATATATAGTTAGATTTCCTTTGCTTTTTTTGAAACTAAGAAAAGCAGCTTACAGTATTAATTACCAAACAGTTTTAATTATTTCGTTGTCTATATAAACTGAGATCTTTGCTATTATAAACATTAAAAATTTACACTTTTATATGTTTTATTAACATACTTATATACAGACTAACGGTACACAAACGACAGCTTTAACGTGCCGTTGAAGCGCTTTTGACGCCCGTCCAACGCGCTTATTGCGCGCTTGTATCGATATGAACACAAGCATTTTGCATTTTTTTTTAAATTATCGCCTTAGAATATGTGGAGATGGCGTACGTTCATGATATGCGCATCGTTGTCAAGTTTTTGAAGCGTGATGTGAATGCCCTTTGAAGTTTATACAAAAGTAAACGGCTCGTTAAAAATTCGCTGTGTGCATATGCCTTAAATAATTAATTTATCAGACAATATTAACTGCTCACAGTTAATAGAGTTTGAAATGAACTCCAATTTTCAGGTATGTGGAGGTGGTCCAAGGCTATCCTTATGGCATCTACGCTCCCTTGACGCTGTAACAGTATTTGACATTCCTGATCATGGCATTCATGTGTCTTTTTTCCATGACGATTGTGTAATTGCCGGAGGAGCTGCTAAGCATTTATACCAATTAAATTATTCTGGTGATGTAAAAGTTGAGCTACCAGTTTCGGCAACCACAGTATACTCGGTGGCCCTAAGAACAACTCCTAACAAAGTATTAACAATCGCTGGTTCAAGCCCCGAGATTGATCTGTGCACTAGCTTCAATTATAGAGACCAAGTGTTGCATTTTAGGTAATTTTCTTTTTAATAAATACACTTTGCTATTATTTTTGTTTTATTTGCAACTCACCCTCGCTTCGCTCGTGTCTCGTCTCTAGCTTGCTTCTGAATACAAACTTTCATCCCCATTTTTACACCATTAAGGGATGAATTCTGGGATAAAGTATCCTATGTCCTTCCCAGGGTCTCAAACTATCTTCTTACCAAATTTCATCTAAATCGGTTCAGTAGATCCCTACAACGCTACAAACTCACAAACTTTACCTCTTATTAGTATAGATTAGACAAGAAGGGATTGTTTCTTCCTGGTATATTTAGATGACATTTTTTTGGGTGGCATATTTAAAAAAAAAGTAAGATATACATTTAATTTGTTTATTTTAGTAATACCATCATAAAACATATTTTATACAAGTAGTAAATGCGAATTAATAGAATTATAATTTATATATTATACAAAAAAACTATTGAAACAAAAATATCCTCTTTCAGATTAAAGATATTTTAAATAATAATACTGTTATAAAGAAAACAAATTTCAAATTATTTAATTATAATTGATAATATTATTATACGTCAAAAGACTAGGAAATTGCCCTTGCTTCGTTTGGGTGCGTCCTAGGTACATACATATAGCATTGCTACATTTTAATAGACTTTTAGAGGAATAATACCATAATACAATGTTTTCATATAACTCTAATTGAAATAAAACATTTTGTCCAAAAAATTAAAAAAATTTTTTTGGGGTGGACCAACCTTATCACTTAGGGGTATGAAAAATAGTTTACTTCCTATTCTCAGACCTACTGAATATACACACAAAATTTCATAAGAATCGGTCAAGCCGTTTTGGAGGAGTTTTGTTACAAATACTGTGATACGAGAATTTTATATATTAGAATTTAGAAGATATAGATAAAATATATTTTATCGACTTTATTAAAGTAAAATGTGTATTTAATGCCAATGATAATTCTGTACCTAATAAAAACTCCTTCAGTAAATTGGTTGTTTATACAAATAAGCACAGAAGCGACGATTTGTTAGTATTAGATATTTGGAATTTCATATACAAACATATAATTTTAAATAGACTTTTTTATATATACCCATGTCCAGCTACGGCTGCTGGAATAAAACCCTGATTACCATCTCGTTTTCTCACATAAAACCATTCTAAATCAACATCAGTTTCTTCTCCTCCTTGAACTAAAACAACGACTTCCCCTTTCTTTACTGACACTGTTCTATTTAACTCACTGCCTTTATAATCACTATTCACGATCACTAATGTCTGTCTTTGCAATTTTTCCTTTACATTTCCACTGTCCTTATCATGCAAATTATTAAGGTTTGACACCGATTTAGTTTTCAAGTATAGATCATCGAATTCTTTTTCCGCACAAGATATTTTTTGTCGTCTTTTTGGTCTGTATCGTGATTCCGAATGTGTTCTACCACGTAATTGTTCTTTTTCATTGTCAGTCAAGTTTCCGCAAGGGCGTGGGTAAATATCTGTACTGCTTTCCCAGCAAGGCGTCTTCTTTTGGACTGACGGCCTGAAATTATTGTTTTTAATCTACGATTGATAAATTATTATCGATAGTAGGTACACTGTACACAAAAAAATACTTTATTATCAAAGTTTTGTAAATTAAAAGTTTGTCTCTCTCGTAACTAATATTACATAATAAGTACCTAATAGCTTTAATTTAAAATAATAAACATAGGAAGGTCAATACTTCGTCTTAAAAATAAGCAAACGTTAAACTGCGTACTAAGTAAACTTGATTCTTGATGGCTTCGCCAGGGTTTTTTAGGATCCCAATTTGAATTTAAGTTATTATAATTTCTGATATTAAACACATTATTACCGCAATAAAAGCCTATCCTTTAGTACCCGGGGTAATATAACTTCCCATTAGAGAAAGAATTTTCTGAATCAGATCAATAGATTCATAGATTACCACCTACATACCAACTTACAAACTTTTCCTGTATATAATATTAGTATGGATGTAAACACAATGTGTTCTTACTTGCTAGGCAAAATGCCCAAAGGTAAGCAGGAACTGTACATGACGTAGCCTTCATCACCATGCGGCGTCTGTGCGTAGAGCCATTGCTGGTTTTTAAAAACAGCGTTGACTACTGTACCCAAGGGCAGAGTTAATTCACGTTGAATGTCTTTTTGTGTCTGATAGAGAGTTGTGGGAAAAGCGATCACTACAGGGATGTTGCCTGGTCGATCTATCGAAGCCTGAAATTAATAGAGTTGAAATTAATCTAAATATAACCTTACATCTATAATAGCGAAATACGCGGTCGCTGGTTCGAGTCCCGCTGGGGGCATTCGTTTGTGTGATGAGCACGAATGTTTGTACTCCAGTCAAGGGGGTTTATATTTATGTATGTATTTAAAGTTATATATGTGTAGTGTACCAACTATCTGGTATCCATAACACAAGCCTCGTAGCTTACCATGGAACTAGATGGCGCTGTGTGTTAATGTCCCAACATTTATTATTATTATACCACTGCATCACTGCTTGATTTACTGATTAATTATGATTATGATGTCTCTAAAACGACTTAAGTTAGAATTATGTTTAGCCAGATAATAAAATTTGTGTAATATCTATCGAAAACGCAAAAATGCCGTTGTCATTAGGTACTTCATACATAAACGATGCAGTTATAAATGATTCGAGGATAGCAGAGACTTAGCAATTCATAAACAACAATAGTAGTGTTTGAAAATTTCAATGATAAACGTATTTTATAGACTCTATTCAACAGATTCGATTACTTTTGTTGAAACTAGAACACCAACGTAATCTGGATTTGTATTTATCACAAACGAGCTTTTGATCCATAAATATCGAAATCAATTAGATTTCATGGCCGTTTGTTTGTTGTTTATTTGTTATTAGCGAATTATTAATTGTGTTATACCAATTGGAATTCATTGGTATAGTAATAGTGCTTACATTTTGATTAAACATAAGAGTTGAAAAAGGATTTAATTAATGGGTGTATATTAATATTATTAGTAATAAGGGCATTTTTTCCTTTTTTATTTACATTTAAAAATCATTTTGTCCACTTTATACTTGAATATTGTTTAAATGCCAGTTAATTTTAAAAAAAATCATATTTGAAATTAACTTTAACCAACGATTTTGATTTCTTATAAGTTATAATACATATATAGATTATAGGTCTACAATAATGTTTTTAACAAATTTTTTTATTTATTTAAACAATGAGGAAAACTGTAACCTCCTTAGTCCATATACCACAATATTTTATTACTTTTGTGGCGCTCAGGTATGAAAATTGATTGAATAGCTTTTAAAATTTTTATTATTAAGAAACTGTATAGCCTTAACAAAATGTGCAGCAATAATATTGACACTTAAAAGAAATATTATATTGATAAACGATTGACCATTGGAAAAATAACCGCTAAAATTGTTATTGTTAAACGATTTACAGCTACAAATATTAACTTTATATTTCTTTGCCGATATAAGAAAAAGCCATAATCGGTAAGTTTCAAAATCTCAGCCTCAATTATGCTCAAAAAATTTGGAAACGACAAGCAATTTATACTCGTATCTTCTCCAATTTTGCGCTAATTTCGCGGTTCAAAATTTTGGTTCGTGCACGGTGCACCGCTTAGGGTTTTAAAAAGAACTTACAACTTTCCAATTACTAAGTATTTTATATTTAACAACTAGCGACTCATCCTGGCTTCGCTCGGGTTCGTCCCTGAGTATGATATCGGTGAAAGGTAAGAATGGAATAGGAAAACTCTGTGAAAAACAAAAACAAATCTATCCCACGGGAACCGTACATTTTCCGGGATAAAAAGTAACCTATGTGCTATTCCAGACTATAACCTATCTCTATACCCAATTTCATCCAGATCCATTCAGCCGTTCTGGCGCAATTGAGTAACAAACGTGCATCCAAATCTTTTCGCATTTATAATACTAATGGGATTATTTTTTTAACGTTATTAATTTTAATATTTTATAAATAAGAATTATTAAATTCTACATTATATGCAATGACTATAGGAAGATTTTATTGCTGTAGGCTGAAAACAATTTTGCTTAAGGCATAATATATCTGACGTATTTAAAATTTAATCTGCCCAGAGATAAACCGCGAAATGAAATAAATATGGCAGAAAAGAAAAATTACTGTGGGTATAATGCTTTGAGATTCGGTAATGATTGTAATTCAACAGTGAATGATGGACGGCACGGCTCGTAAATTGAAATACGTCATTCTTATACCCACTTAATTATCTTCACATACATAAGTGCTGTATCGTCTTCGAAAAATATTAAGCTTAAGCAACTAATCCAAAGTAAGCGGCAATTTTTATTATACCTACAAAATAATATATCTTATTAATTATTATACTTTAATAAAAAATGTATTCTTTACAAAAAAAAATTTTAAGATGTTCTTATTTTAAACTTATTTGCGTCGACTAAAAATGTTACATATGCTTTGAATAAGTAATAAGTTATTTATTCGTAGTACGTAAGTATGTAATGGTGAAAAAATATTAAAAATATTTATACTATAATTAAAACAAATATTATAATATTTAAAATCGATGCTACAGTTTTGGAGATTTATAAAATCAATTAATTCTATGTACAATAAACAAAGAAAGTAATTTAACCTCTTTTCAAAAACATGGGATATTATCAAAAGTAGCATTACCTATTATCACATAAAATTATTGTAGCTTAAATTTTCGGTACATTTATACAAGTAAATAAAAAAAGTGTCTGTAACGTCAAAATAACAGATTTTTACTAAAGGTTGCATATGAAATTGTATTGACGTATTGATTGAATTATTTGTATATGGTACTTATAAGAAAAACGCAATTTTTAATATATTTTTTTGGCTGTCTGTCTGTTTGTGTGTCTTTCTGTCTGTTCCGGTTAATCTCCGAAACGGCTGGACTGATTTTGATGGAGCTTTCATTGGCAGATAGCTGATATTATAAGGAGTAACTTAGGCTACTTTTATTTCCGAAAAGAATTATGGTTGCGCTCGAAATATAAAACGTTGATATCTTAGATACTAAATGGTTTACATATTTTCAACATTAAATTCCAAAAAAAATATTTTGAAAATTACCTCACTTAAAAAGGTATCCAAATCCCGAATATCATATCCAAACTTGTTATTCCGCTTTCTTCGTCTATGCCTGTGCCTATGTTTCCGTCTCACATATTCTTCTGTTCCAACACTCGTGTCCGATAACGATTCCAACCCGTTAAACTCATCACATGCACTTTTAAACCTTAGATTGTTGTAATACTCGTTACGACCCGCTACCCTCTGATTTACGTTAGTACATTTTTGTTTATCATCCGTAATTTTTTTCAATTTATCACCACATTTCTTCTCAGTTTTTCCAAGATTCTCCTTTAAAACCCATGTCAGAGATATTTTGGATTTGTGCCTATGTGCCAGTGGAGAGGAATGCCAGATTCCCATGTCTTCAATCTCTGCGTATTCAACCTCAGATTGTTCGTCGTGAGCTTCGGTCGTTATTTTGCAATTTGCCAGCAAATCTAGAACTTCACATGATGGTGAATTCTGTAAACATATTAACATTGATTTCATTTAAATTGAGTATAATTTCCTGCAATTTAATAAATTCGAATTCCATCAAGTTGTAAAATATCGGTATTCTTTCAATATGTATGTCTATTAAACATAAAATATCTATAAATATACTAGGTGTTATGTGCTTATCCCTTAGTAGTGGCTTATCTGATCCTTATTCAGTCATGTTTAACACCCCATACTTTTACGTACATTTTTGCAATGTGATTGATATATCCTTTATTTAAATATATACAATTTTTAAGCAGATTTATTTCATTTTAGCCACGTAACTACATAGAAAATAACTCGATGATAACTTAGTCCTTAGATTTAAATGTACTAAAGTTTATTTGCAAATGTAGAGCCTATTTTGTTTATATTTTTTAAGGTAAATATTTTTCTTAGATATATCTAAGTTCATTAAATCGTACCGCGATTTGTGGTTCGTGATTCCCACGATAAACTGCTTCCTCCTCATTTTCCCGATACGGCGGCGGCAAGTCTTTGAAAGTTATTTCTGTAAAACAACACATTCACTTAACTTTACATTTATTTATGTAATAAAACAATATTGTAAACAATAAACAGTAAATAATTGATTAAGTCATTTCATATTATTTATTGTGAATTAGACAAGATCGAATATAGCGGAAGACCTACCAAAGTTTTATTATAATTTTAAAAACTATGTATTCAAAAACTGTTAATCTCTCTGAGATAAATTCCTAAACAATTAAAAAAAAAATTTGCAACCCTTATTATATTGTTTGACATTAAATAGTTCCGTACACTATTTCACGTAAGTTTTAACGATTATAACGGATATATCGCACGTTTACGGTCCGTCACTGGTCGTTTCCCGCCACAGACTGAATGGTTTATCCGTTCTATTCGGACTCGTAACTGCGTAAGCTACGGCACGTAGAGGTACGAAAGTAAAAGTAATAATAAAGGTCCCGTAGCGTGATTTGTGACAGTGATATCTAAACGTTATTGTTTTGTCTTCTTTTATCTTTTAATTTGGTACATAAGGTAGAAGACTTAAGTAAATAGTCCTGTTCTTATAATTTCATGCAGTACATATATACTTCTACTACTTATAATATATTAGCCTTGCCCGCGACTCCGCCTGCGTTCAGATGACCAAAAACCAAATTCTCAGGTTTTACATATTAGTATTCTCTTACATTGCAGTTTTTGTATTTTTTCTCAGAAATGAGATATTCCCGCGGTAAAAAGTATCCTATACGTTGACCCGGATAACCAGCTATCACCATACCAAATTTCATCAAAATCCCTCCAGTGGTTTTTCCGTGACGCGGTAACAGACAGACAGACAGACAGACAAAAATTCTAAAAACTGTTGATTCGGCCTCTGTATCGAAAATAATGTCTATTTTAATAAGATTTTCCAAAAAATATTTAATGTACAGATTAATTAGAATTTTATTATATGTATAGAAAAGTAAATAGCTTCTAATGTAGTAAATAAAGTACATACATATTAGCACTTAGGTTTCAGGCCTGTACCCTATTGGTCAGGTTGAGTCTCCATATTACCGGAGATGATGTCGATGATCGGAGAGAAGTAGAAATGTAGGTTTGTATGCGTTCCCCGATGACGAAAACTATTGACCCTCTACTTTAACGGTCTGGGATAGCTCATTGAGCCCTTTTTAATTTAGGGGATTTGGCGACAGTTTACCACGCCGGCTAAGTCCAAGCTAGCGGAGTTCACATGTCTTTCGAAAACAAGTTGGATTCCTACAGACATGTAGCTTTCGTCCCGATATTTTCCTTCACTTTAAAACGAGTAGTAATCATGTCAAAAAATATTTGAACATGAAAATGCTATCTGTGTTAATATAAAGTTTATGATTTGATACTAGTAAATATATCGAACGGGTACACTGCATACGTACATAGAGAAATGATTAAAACGAAAAAATACAGTTTACGATTATTTTCATCACATTACGTCCTTTTACGAGATTTATATTTTTATTGCTTCATCAAAATAGAATATTATCTAATAGAAACAATACAAAAATACATATTTTCATATCGAAAGTTCGATAGTCCGGCATTCTCACGGCATGCGAACGCGCAGCCTCAGGATACGCTCCCCGTAAAGCCTCGGTCACGAACATTCATTATACCACTCTTAATTTAGATGTACGACCATATCGCCGTGTTATTTATCTACTCATTATTGGAACTCATTTACTTTTAACAAAGCGTACGATTTAAAATTTTAAATGGTGTAATAACAAACATCAATCATAATATGGTGAAGGTTCTCGTAGGAACTTAACGCCCTAGTCTACAATGTATAAAAAATGTGTGTGTGTACTTATGTACGCACGTAAGAAGTTATACTTCTTTGGCGTAACAGAATAAAAATAGCTAAAGATTTCATCCCGTATGTCACAACTGTCTGTTTGTGAAAGGAATGATAAATTAATAAAATAATTAAATAAGGCAAATTACAATTATTATATATTTATAGAATATCATTAAAGGAAAGAAAGAATATTATAGATCACTAGCATTGCCCGCGGCGCCGCCCGCGTTCAGATGACCAAAAACCAATTTCTTAGGTTTTACATATTAGTATTATCTTACAATACAGTTTTTCTATATTTTCTCAGAAATGAGATATTTGCCCGCGATAAAAAGTATCCTATATGTTGACCCGGATAACCAGATATCATCATACCAAATTTCAGCAAAATCTGTCCTGTGGTTTTCTCGTGATGCGGTAACAGACAAACAGACAGACAGACAAAAATTCTAAAAACTATAGATTGTCTTTGTATCGATAATATTGTCTATTTCAATTAGATTTTCCAAAAAATATACCATGCACAGATTCGACTTAGTTACAATTTTATTATATGTATAGATTTGTCAGACAATAAGAACGTTTATCATGGCAACAAACAGTTATCAGCTAACTTCATCATGTCTCTTTTTGGTTGTCGTTGTTACGCGCACATCGTAAAATTACTCTCATATTTTTTTTAAACGTCCCAAAAGAAGTATAATTTAAAAAAATACGTAAAGTAAGTAGGTATTTTATCTATTTTGTGAGTGCAACGAACGCAAAAAATACTTGGTTAAATTTTGATATAAGCCTATCTATCACTTTAACATACAATGGAATCAATATTAACTAAATTGTTGCATATTAATTGACGTACGTGTAAGGATATTTTAAAAAGGTAGAGTACGAGAGATTTAACAGCTTTATTGCCTTATAATAATTGGTTAAAATGAATAATGCCTCCAAGAAATATACCTTTTTCAAAATTACATCTATAGAAACAAAACTCAGTCGTTAGAATGATTAAAACAAAGCAACAGGGACCTTTACAGATTGATGCACCACGAGCGTTTGTTATTCCTTCGTTTGAGTGTTTAACACTTCGCGCGAAGGAATTAGACTACTGTGGTATTCCACACCTGTGTTTAAACGTGTTTCAACTACGTATCGAGTAGGTATGTGCTTTTTTCATATTTTTTGTGTTATATCCAAATATATTTCCAAATCACTGTTAAAATAATTAAAAAAAAATAATAATAATCAATCGCCAGTTTATTTTATTCGTTATAAATATTTACTTTGTAAAGAATCGAACTCGTGAAATGCTTTATTAATGTTTAAGCGTGCAGCCGCTACTTACTTTACATTAATATTTATTTGTCTGTTTGTGCGTTCCTATTTATAGGAGCATCTGTTGAGTTTCTCGCCGGCTCTTCTCAGCAAAAGTAAACAAAGAGACTATCACACCCGAGCGAAGCCAGAAGAAGAAGAAATAATAACTAGCGACTCACCCTCGCTTCGCTTGGGTTCATCCCTTGCTTGCTTCCCGCTACAAACTTTCATCCCCATTTTCACCCCCTTAAGGCATGATTTCCGGGATTAAAGTATCCTATGCCCTCACCAGGGTCTCAAACTATTTTCTTAACAAATTTCATCTAAATCAGTTTAGTAGATCCAGAGATTATTACCCCCTACTACCTCACAAACTCACAAGCTTTACCTCTTTATATTATTAGTATAGAAGTATAGATTGACGATTGTAAGACACTTTAATATAATAATATCGATAACGTTCCTTGAAATTGGAAAGTGAAACCGTCGGTTATCCGCAAGATTTCGACGACATTTCATCGGTTTCGTTCCTACCACGGTAGTTATGGAAAAAATATTTTATATCCATAACTTTTTACCCATAGTTATTTTCCAGAAAAATAAATAAATATATCTTTTATTATTATTACACTCTACAGATATTTTTAAAGATATTTTTTACAAATGTTAAATTAAAAATATATATATAAAAATAATAACGGAACTAAAAAGATGCAAACAAGTTGATGAAGGAACATAGTATTATACAGACAGACTCACAGAGGCTATATAAAATATAAAGAAAATTAAAGACAAAATTCAAAATCGATTTATAAATGGCAAAGATGTCACGTGACATAACATACCCACAAAAAAAAATATCTCAGGCTTCTTAAAGTCGATTAGAAATAATCTAATATTGATATAATGTACCAGAAGAGTCGAGGCCAAAAAGCAATATATACCTACTTTGTACATTATATAAATAAGACATTAACGTTACGAAGCCGCAGGAAAAGCCAATCAACAGCCAAGATTATCATCATCGTCGAGAAAATCGAGAGCGAAATCTGTTTATTATGAGCTTTAACCGGAAGAAATTTCTAGCAAAAACAAATAACAACATTGAACTAAACCGCTGTCGATAGTATTCTGATTTTTATCACTAATGAGTAGTTACGCTGAGAAGAAACGTAGAGTTTGCGATTTTATCATTAGTCCGAATGATAGAGAATATACACGTGTACAAATAAATAATTATGAACACAGACACATATTAAAGCTATAAGCTTTACAGGGACAATTGTAGAGAGAAAGAAAATTGTTGATTCTCAATTCTCTTATTGCGCATAAACAGTGTTTCGAATTCTACCTAGATATAGTTAATTTTATATATAATTTTAGGTACTGTCCTTAAATATATGATTCGACCAACTTTAAGTTAAAGAGTGATAATAATCGGAGTTTAACATTTACATAGACGTCGTAGAGTTGCATGCTAAATGAAGTTAAAAAACATACATCTATACATATAATAAAATTCTAACGAGTCGAATCTGTACATTAAATATTTTTTTGAAAATCTTATTTAAATAATCTTTAGTATCTATAGAGGTCGATTCTATAGATTTTTTAATTTTTGTCTATCTACCCAGATAGACAGAAAGACGAGACGCATCATGAGAAAACCACTACACAGATTTTGATGAAATTTGGTATGATGATAGATGGTTATCCGGGTCAACATATAGGACACTTTTTACTGCGGGGAAATATCTCATCTCTGAGAAATCTATACTAAACGTTAAAAGGTAACTAGGTACGAACCCGTAAATATGGAGCGGAGCGAGGGTGAGTCGCTAGTCTAAAATATAATATAACATAGATTAACTCTTT